ATTTTGTGTGTGTGTGTGTATGAGAGAGAGAGAATGAGAGAGAGAATTAGAGAGAGAGAGAATGAGTGAGTAATTTTAATTTTTTCTTTTATCTTTTCAGTGCATTCACTTTTTTATTGTTCAAAGTCAGATAGCTTTACCAACTACTATACGGTTCGCGTGACCGATTTTTCTTTATGATTTATTATTATCAATGATATGTATATTTCGTCTATGTAAATATGGCAATGGTGTGGGGGTTTTAATTTTGGCAGTGGTGTGAGAGGGTTCGCGTGACCGCTTATCTCTTTTCCCCGCGCGCATTTGCCTGCATTGAATAACCCCCCCCCCCCCCTCCTCTGTTGCCTATAGTTGGACGAAATGTACATATCTATACTACTCAAATATATTGTCTGACCAACTATCTTGGAAAGTGAAAAATCGGCACTCCGTATTATGGCCACGCACATTTTTCGTTGGCTATAAAGTAATTTTTTATGGTGGTCAAAATGTATTTCACTGAAAATCATTTTTGGCCACGCGGCTAAAAAGGAAATTTCATTCTGTTTTTCACAAAAAGTAAACGAATCCACCAATACAACAACTATACAGCTATGCAGACTCCGATCCTGTGTACTCGTATGTATTGCTTCGATCGACGACTGAGTTTGCAATACATACGGATACACAGAATCGGAGTCTGTGTGTTCATCTGTAATACAGTGTTTTTCTTTGTACGTGTGTTTTTGTTGCAAAAAAATCGTATTCGTGTTAAGTTAACACTGTTAACCGTGTGTTTATTTTTGCCAACCTCTCAGTTCTGTTAGCGACATTACAAGAAAAAAGTCATAGTAGAAGAATCAAGTATAGTTTGATTTGCCAGCGAAAAAGTATAATAAGTTATTGAGTTAACTGGTTTTTGTTAATAATAATTTAAAGCTTTTACTTTATCTATTTTGAAAGAAATATAAATTAAATGCTCTAGATTAGAATCGATTTTGATATGGATTTTTCTTCGCACTGTGCTACATTCTGTTGTGTCTATTATTTTTTTATTCGCATTAGAAAAATGGCACCGAGACGTCCACGTCCATCATCATTTTTGTTATCTTCAGATGAAGAACCGAACCCAATAGCTGAAGGTTCTCGCTCATCCTTGCATCGTAATATTGATGGGGAATGGATGGCATCAACACCATCAACATCGCGTAATGTTTCAATCAACCATCGGTTTTGCAAATCTAAAAGTTGTATTGGCTGATGAAGAGCCGATTCAACATGAAGATAACACTATACCGGTTCCGATCGCATCGACTTCAAACGCTTCCACTCAAAATGTCGCATATATGTCCATACCAAACGATGCACGCATAGCACCAATTACGTATGATGTTAAACATCCATCGAATCCGATTTCATACTTAGCACCAATGCAACAAAATGGGTTTTCTAACGTGATTTGCTAAGGATTTTCATCGAAAAACTGGAGACCTTTTTTTAGCTATAAATGTGCTCTTTTTTCATTTGCATTATGACATTTTTGTGCAGGAGTCGGAAAAACTATGTAATTTACATATTAACGGTGGACCTGAAACATGTGCTCCTTCTTCACAAACAATACATACACACCAACTCACAAATACATGTGCGCGCTACTCATATTCGTTTATGTGATGAATACTAATTGACTTCTGCGTACACGTGATCTTTGTGTATGTATTGTTTTTGAAGAACAAGCACATGTTTGAGTCTCACTCGTTTCCGCTACACGTTTTTCTGTTTATCTTCTTTTATTGATAATCTCAAAGTCGGTTTCATTTTTAAAAATTTGAGACCAATTCATAATGTCACCATGACATTCATACATTGTCGGTCTCTTTTCGAAAATCATCTTTCACAAATGGCGAAAGTACAAACGCTTTGATATAAGACCAAGAACTCATTTATATTTAACCTATTTATAGCGATTTTTTCTTGCATTTATTCCGAAAATCATTCATAAAGCATAAAGACCGAGTCGGCCATACTACATGAATCAAGCTACAAATTCATCAAAAATTCAAAAAATGTCTCATCAAATTGATATTTTTTACATTATTCATCTTATTTCAAAAGAATTGTGTACGTCAGTAAAATGGGATAAAGCAGTTGAGTCGCCCAATGAAAAATGTATTATGATTAAATTTGGTGCTAGTCTTAACATCAGTTATCCAACAGAAAGTAATTTTTTCTTCATAAATTATTTTTTTAGCTCTTTTTTTCTATTTTATTCGATTTTTCTATTTTATTCATTGGTTTTCGGTATAAAAAATGGCACAACCGGTACAACAAGATTTGACGATCTTAAATTTATTGAATTTAAATTGCTTAGAGTCTATTTTTCGGCATTTAAAAAATCCATACGATTATTCAAGTGCCGCACAAACTTCTGTAAAGTTTCAAGTCGCATCAAAATTGGCGGTGCCAGAATACATAAAAAATGTACGCCTCGAGAACGCGTCGTCGATTCAAAAATTCCTCAACGTATTTGGAACGCAAATAATAAGTGCCATTATTTACGACCGTTCCAACGAATTTTTGACGATTTATCCGCTCGAAAACATCATTGCTGGAGTTGTTGTGGGCAATGACTTGAATTACGACCTGAATGTAGAGGTGTCAACGAACGTTCGTTTTCGTGTTACGAACACCAATTTACACTTTGCGAACGAACGCGTTCGTTCGTAGAACCAGTCTTTGCGAACGCGAACGAACACGAACCAAAAACAATTTTTGGACATGAAATTTTCTACAATGATTTGTTGCTCTTTTTTCTCTTACACACGTCGTTTTTTAATTAAACAAAGTTTTTACAAAAAATTAATCCAATGCGTTTTATTCGTTTTAATTAGAAAACGATCTTTCTGCTGATTTTTAAGCAGCTGGTGTACACACTGTGTTTGGAAACAATCGAAATAGATTCGGAAAATCGTTACGCGAGGGAGCATTTCCATTGCACGGGTCTTTGCGAACGCGAACGAATGCGAACACCAATTTCCACTTTGCGAACGAACGCGTTCGTTCGTAGTGGTGTACTTTACGAACGCGAACGAACACGAACACCAATTTCCACTCTGCGAACGAACGCGTTCGTTCGTAGTGGTGTCCTTTGCGAACGCGAACGAACACGAACCAATTTCTTTTATACGAACGAACTTTTTTTTCTACGAACGCGTTCGCTGACACCTCTACCTGAATGTGGATGTGGTGTACCGATATGCCAAAATTGTAAGCGATGTCTTTATAACTGACATGGTTCAACCGGTTCCGCAGGTATTTATTGTATATTAAACCACTTTTAATTTTATTAGTGTTCGGGTTTGCATACTATTCGGTTTTTAAATTCGTGTTTTTCCCGTTTTTTGTTCGTTCGTTCGTACTCGCGTTCGTTCGTTGTTCGTAGAATTTTTTCACGAATATTTGACTTTTATCTATTATAAGAAGGAACGAATAATATTATAAGAACGAACGCGAGTACGAACGAACGAACGAACGAATACAAATTTAATTTTTATTGCCTACGAACGTTCGTAGCCAACAGTACTTTCAGTTCAATTTTTCAACGATAAATTGAATAATTTTTTCACTGAGTATTGTAGATCAAAGAGTTGCCAATAATACATATTTTGCACATCCGAAAAATGTAACACTGGCTCTATTGCACGACGACAACGAAAATTCTCGCCAAAAAGGCTCAAAGTTTTGACTGCTAGAGAATTAGAAATGGAGAGAAAACCGGATTCCGCACAACTGATATTCCTCACTGGAAAAAGAAACCAATAATATTGAATCATTCGTCCGAAAACAAAATTTGAACATTCGTTTTTGATGATTGATATGTCGTTGGAAAGGTATGATACTCTCAAATGGAATAAAACTTCTGACTCTACCGGAGTTGAGAAGCTATATTTATACGGGAACTTTATCCCCACCTCAACAAGAAGTTTCGAAAAACCCAAATATAATTAAAAATGATCGGCAACCTTTGATCTCAAACGTGACTCACCATTAAACTGGGTGAATGCAGTGATCAAAGGGTCGGTACTCCATGAGTAAGAGCATGACTCACGCTCGATTTAGATCAGCGCGGCGATCAAAGGTCGGCTCTCTTTGAAGTAGAGCGTGACTCATGCTCAGCGGCCCATAATTGCTACGAAGTTGTGCAATGGTCTTAATTCTTAAGGCTGTTGTGCAATATATTGATTTTTGGAACCGATGGGGAATTTAATTAAGATAGGTCAGTAATAGGTGTTTGACAGTTAGAAAAGAAAGAGACGTAAAAACATTGTTCAGAGATAAGAATTGGGAATAAATCGAAACATAGAAATATATGAATGTATTTTTATTAAAAAAAAAAAACAAAACTTTAACGAATGAGAAGACATTTCAATGTAAAATATGGAATAAAAGTATGTACACGTACGAACGTTACTTAATTTTTTCGAACAATTACAACACTTTTTATTATATTATTTCTTAGTGTTTCAGACATATCGATTCGTATGAATTTTAATGACACGAAGAAGAGTCGAAGCATATATCGCAGCGTTAAATTTTGTGAATCAAAATTTAATTATTTTGGAAGGAATGGGTATTATCATAGTTTTTGAGAATGCAATGAGGGCAGCATGCCCAAATCTTCCAGTGCTTGGCTGCCTTTTTCATCATTTTATGATTACATGTTGAATTACAAGAAAATCTACAGAGGCTTTTAATCCATATAAATCAGAATACTGCCATATGTAAGAAGGTGCCAATTTTCTAGACATAATTATTAAAAGTTAAAAACATAATTATTCTAAACATGGAAACACTACAGAGTGATCCAGAATTCTTGGAATTTGGCGCTGTCATTTTATATATTTTTTCTGAAAACTCACATTTTTCAATTGAGTGAAATTTGATTAATTATTTCTGGCTTGGATTTTACTCAGGTTGGAATAGATTTTCAATCAGGTAATTTAATTTAAAAAAACTTCACGTGTTCAAGATCATTATTTATTTGGATTCTATATTTAAGAATTTTTCTACTTTTTTATCATTTTCACATGATGACACAAAGATCGTTTGCTTCAATATCGCTATACGCCAAGTATTTACAAGCAATTTCATTTGTGTCTTTATATTTCTCGGGATTTTTTTCCTTCATTTTTGCCAAATTTTCAGCGCTATAAAAGAAACAATCGTATGCTGTAAAGATCAAAGAAAAAAGATAATCAAATACAACCTCAAGCGATCAAGGCAAGTATAGTTCAATTTATTTGCCAATCGATTCGACGAGTCTGATATAAAAAGGCTAGCCGTAATATCGACATGTTGCTCCAAACAAATCGTTACATGGACTCTGAGAAGTGCCTCGCCCAATCCCTGGCGACGATAGTTTGGATCAACAGCAAGTCCCTCACTTATCAAATATTTATCAATTGAAAACATGTCAAATATACGGTCGCATACAAACTAAAACGTAAAATTATTGTCATAGTTTCAATTCACAATGATCTATGGGCATTTCATGAGTGCTTTTGTTACCTTGGATTTAGTGTGCAATGTTCTAATATCCAAAATGTTTAGCCCGATAATCGTTTGGGTTCCAGGTTTAAAAATAACCACCGACAGGTTTTTCTCTAATTCTTCTTTCCAATAAGTGTTGGCAGAACCTATCCAATCAATGTATTATTTTAAGTAAGAATCTTCATCTCACTGACAACAATACATACCAGTATTCACCTTCAAATGTTTGACCGCAAATTTCGATGCGTCTTCAAATTTCGATTGAGGTAATCTTTCCATACTGTAGTAAGTCGTTCCACGATTATTCTTCACTGGAAATTTAATGGGCCACAACGATTTCTTTGAGCTTTTACCTTTTGCTGCAAATGCTTCTAAAACAAAAACTCCAACAAGTACCAAAATGAGACATTTTTGATTTTGCATTTTCACGCTTCAAGTCGCTGGAAACTAACTGATCAGATCTGTCGTTACAACGTTTAATTTTTGTTTGCCTACAGAATGATGATTAAATTCATTTGTTCAAGAAATAATGAAAATTCCGAAATTCGCTGTTTACTCAAACTTAATAATCAAACAAATATGTTTCAAGTTGATACATTCGCTATAAGAAAAATTACAGCTGCAAATGAAATTTTGATAATTTCAAGGGTTTTTAACTGAGCACGAAGCAAAAAACAAATGAGTATGCAATTCAGCTTGTATGGAAATTCTGACGCAAAAAGCTGTTTGTTTTATGACAATGATGTTGTTTTATGACATCGGCATAAATACCAGAGCCACTAATCTAGCTTTTGCGTGTAAGTTTTCCTACATCTATCGCTTACTAGGTCTCAATTTGTCGTCCATTCAACGAAAAAAAAACACAGAATAGACAAATGAAGTAACCTTGCATCAGACAAAAAGCAGACGTGTTGATGGTGCCCTCTTAAAAATGTTGACGATATAATCCGAACCCTCGTCATCGCCTATGATGACAGTAAGACTTTGTTGTGGAATGGTAGATACATTTTGGGCTGGCAGCCATTGCGTCACGTCCTTCTTTACCATTAAAGATTTTATAGGCGATATTTTCAAATATTGGACAGTGCCATTATTTCGCTTTTTTTATATTTTAAAGCATGTAGTGCATCGTGTACATTCATTTACACCACCACCACCACCATCGATACCGTGGAGCGGAAACAAGTGAGAATTAAACACGTGCTTCTTCCTCATATCATATTATTTTCAAGTGTATTCAAATGACCGCGTACAGTGGGCAACAGTATTGCATTTAAGCCTGTATATTTGATGTCAGAAAATTTTACAAAGCGACATCATCAAAACCTCACGGCTCTAGCAAACTAACGCACCAATACACAGCAACACACTGACTCCGGTTCTCTCTGTGTGTATGTATCGTAAAATTTGCACAAGCAACTACGATTGTCTACTGAGTGCAGAATTTGCAATACATACGGATACACAGAATCGGAGTCAGTGTGCATCAGTTCGTTTGAGCCGTGTGATTTCGATGATGTCGTTTCGAAAAAAAATCTGACAGATTTAGCGATACTGTTGCCCACTGACCGCGTCAAACCAAAACAATGAATGAATGCAACGATATTGAAAGAAATTATTTTATTTTTTATTTTGTTGAGTGAAGAAAGTGGTTATTTCAATGCTATCCACCGTTAACGTCGTTTATATTTGAATGTTTTATTCAACATTCAACAGTAAACATATCATCTTTGCATTTTATTCATTTATAAAAACTGTCAGCCATTTCAATGATATTCTATTCATGTTGTACGGGAATATTGTGTCAATTCTAGTACAAAAACTCGACGAAAACAAGATTTTTACCAAATCCAAGCGGGGAGTCATATTTCGAAAAATGCTCAGGAACAAAAAATTATAAAACACCGAGGGTTTTTGGTATCGGCAGTTTTTGAAAATTAACAACGATCAGAGTTTGAAATAATGATTAGTTTTTTCAGTTCATTTATTTGAAAATCACATAGGGCGAATCACGCTAGTGAATACTAGAAAAACTAGTAAATCTAGTGCGAAGAATGACGTCACAAACGAAGCCAACTTCACACCAAAGGCCATATAATTTATATGAAAAACTACTAAGAGCCAACTTCACGCACTAGAATTTTCTAGTTTTCTAGTGAAATCTTATCAAAAACTAGATGCACTAGAATTTCGTGATTGACCCCATGGAAAATCAATTACAATTAGTTAATGTAAATTGAAATTTTCAATTTATTTTTTTCAATTCATTAAATTGAGTTTTCAATTACCATTTACATTCAAATTGAGAAATGAATTGAAATTCATTTCAATTGCGTGAAGTTGCAGAGATTCTAGTTGGCTCCCATATTAATCTCGATTGTTTTCAATTTTTTACCGTCAATTCATTTATAATAACATTTTGAATGTAAATGTATATATATTTAAAATTTAATATTAATATACAAATTAAAAAAATTAAAATTTGAATCTTTTTTCATTGCTGCGACTTATTGACACAGCAACCGTTATTGTTGAATGTGCGCAATTGCGCATTCAAATATTAACCTCACTTTTGACATTAGCTATGCACAAATGCCGCATAAGGCATCAATCTCTGCAACTTCACGCAATTGAAATAAATTTCAATTCATTTATCAATTTGAATGTAAATGGTAATTGAAAATTCAATTCAATGAATTGAAAAAAATAAATTGAAAATTTCAATTTACATTAACTAATGGTAATTATAACTGAATGAATTGGCATTGAAAAATTCGAAACACTGACAACGATACGTTTAGTCCAGTTGTACGTTTTACATCTATAAGAATTATTCTTGCAATTGCTGCCCAGCAAAAAATGAAATTACCACAATTTGATGTTAAAACGGCACTTTTAAATGGTGACTTGAAAGAAACTGTATATATGGAGTAGCCCATCGGTTTCAAAGATGAAACAAAAAGAGTATGTAAACTTAAAAAAGAGTTTGTACGGTCTTAATCAAGCATCGCTTTGCTAGAACGAGAAATTCAATAAATTCATCAAAGATTTTGGATTTAAAACCAGTGCTGCGGATGCATTTGTCTTTATCAGTGGATTGGCGGAACGTTTTACGATAATAGCACTTCATGTGGATGATGGATTGAATGCAGGTGACGATAAAAATTGTATAAATGCAATTATTGTTTATTTACAGAAAAAGTTTGAAATCAAGGTAATGAAAGTTGAGTGTTTTCTCGGTCTTGAGATCAAACAACGGACGAATGGATCAATTTTCATACATCAAAGTGCTTATGCTATGGCGGACTGTAATGAGACAGCGGTTCCATGTGATCCAAATCAGTCACTCTACAATTCTGACGATTCTGAGCAAGTGTCCATACCGTGAATTCGGTGTGAATCGAGTACCATCCCCAGATAGCATATTCAGTTGGTATTGTAAGTCGTTTTGTAGAAAATCCAACGTTTATGCGTGAAAAAGCTGCAAAAGCTGCGCGCACCCAACATTTATATGGAATCAGGTGCGCGCACCCGAGAAGAGTTGCACACAACATGTAGGTGCGCGCACTTGTTAATTCAATGATAATCTTCCCCATTCAACAACCATTAGAAAGTGGTTTCCAATAGTAATGTGAGCATAAATTGTGGTTTTATTGATGGAGCCTTCAAGACGCTCCTCAAATTGGCTAAAGAATACAAGGCAAATGATGTCACAATTTGTGTCTCAATTGTCTTCGACGAACTGGCAATTAGACAACATATGCAATGGTTGCACTATAAAAAGAAATTTTCGGGATTTATAAATCTTGGTCAATGCATGACGATGACAGGCAACGTAGATAGTAGCCCAGCCACTTAATTTTTTTTAATGGAAAATGTTCGCATTTATCGGGCAACACGTTTTACAATGTAAGAAACAATTTGTAACTTGACAGATGAAAAAAATACCGTATTTATATTAGAAGAGTTCAGACTTTTATACAGTTCAGAAGTTCATTTGTGAATAAAAAAAAACAAGAAACCAGACAAACCAAACGAAGGTAAATATAATTTCAATGCATTGCAAACGTTTTTTTCATTTTGACACAGTGAATACAATATTGTGTATCGTTTTGTTATCTAGATGGCCTGCGCAATTTGCAATGAAAGTCATGCAACAGTAAATTGCACATGCCCATCTCAGCTGTGACAATTGTTTCACCATATTATTCCAAGGAATTCATGAATATGGTGCTGGAAATCAAGCCACTTTATATCGCAGAAATGTTTTTGCCAGTGCACAGAACGGAGTTTTTAAAATGCGTGTAAAAAGGTCTGCTGTTTCCATTAACTTTTTACAAATGGGCGCATTCATTTCAATGACTGTTCCAATGGCACAATCATATGTCCGGCAACATATGGAGCATTTTTTATGAATGACATTGGCGAGAAACGTGTAGTTTCATATGAAAACAACAAGAACGTCAAATTCAGTTTTTTGTGGCCATATTGGAATCCAATGAGCCAACACTATTGCTACGTGCTATATGTGTGAACAATGAAATCGTATTTTTCAAAGTAAATATTCCATTACAACGTGAAGGTCATAAATATACCATACCCAATTGCTTCAAATTCAACACTGCATTGATTTTGGGGCTAGAGGCATCAAAGAATTTTGTAATCAAGATTCAAAATCAAGGTCCACTTTCTTATGATTTCGAAAGAGGTTCGGAATTCAACACTCAGCCGCAAAATATAAGCCGCATTTCACGAGCTGACAAAAAAATGTGTACCAATTGTAATGGTAATCATGATGCCGACGATTGTGACTGGCCAGAATATATGCACAGCTGTGATCAATGTTTAGTCGTATCACTCGATGGCAAATCACATACCAATCCGTGCAATTTTTTGGATGTTTCAGTTCAAAGTCGGTTTCGGGTGTCATTATGTATGTAAGCCCAATTGGAAAACATTCTCTCCAGTTGAGACATTTGGCAGCAACCTTTCCATTGATGTGTACTTTCTTATATCCATCCCAATGCTCATGCATTGGTCCACCAGATGTTGATGGTTTTGAAACAGAACCACCAGGATTCCCCATCATTTGCTCAAAAATGTTGGACATTTTTTTAAACAAAACAAACAACAAAACAATTTCACAATCTTATTCAATTCGATGTGACAAACAATCAAGAACGGTCCAGATACGAAACGTCAGTGTCACATTTATATGTTCGCGTATGCATTCGGATCGGTTCAGATTATATAGAGAACCAACTTCACATCGTTTCACATATACTATATAAAATTTTGGGGGGAATTTTCGTTTATTTTTTTGAATTTTTGAATAATCTACATAATGTACATAATCTACAGTAGAAAATGTAGAGTATGCATACTCTACGTAAATTACATTTCATTTTAAAAAGTCGTGTAGATTTTCCAACCCAGCAAAACACAAATTATAAATTAAAAACCCAAATATATAAGTATAATTATTGATTGCCATTTAAAAAACTAAA